CATTCCTCCTGGCATTTCCCAGTTTTGACTCGTAAAAACCCAAGTATAAGTCTAGACGCAAACCGTTAGATTTAGATTTTTATTGTTTTTAAACTAATATCTGAACGGTTAAAATACTCGGAATACCTGGAACTCTGGCGTACTCAACAAAGTTCCATAGATAACGTGCCCATCTGTTAGAGCTTGACTCTTTTGAACTTAACCACTCAAATTCTACTAGTCAGTAAAAGGTACGGGACCACGTAGGTAAATAACTTCAAATTACCAGACTTCTAAGCTGTCAGAAAATTAAAAAATTTCAGTTCTTCATTTATGATACTACCCAAACTGATCTAGACCAAGTCCTATTGGATGGTCCGACCATCCAATGCCGGCCCATTAATCACGAGAAAACCAGGCTAGGGATGCCCGACTATATCACCCGCAGGAAACCTCTCATGGACCCTCTGCATTTTGTCTCACCTGACTCACCATATGACAAGGCTGCCCAAGTCAGCCCAACTTACCGAAGTTTTTCTCTTGTTAATCGCAAGCCGTGGATAGACACAAACTCCTATCTCCAACACTTGTCACAATGCAAGGCTATTATCTCCACTGAGGGTCAGCCAAAGGCTACAAGATCATCGATCATCCAACGTCTTTAGGACTCATGTATTTTAGCTATTATGATCGACAAAGTTTCAAATTGACGAGAGAGCGCCAGGTTGTTATCTAATGGGCTTTGACTTCTAGGAGATTCAACAATCCTATTAAAACAGGTCCTAGGAAAGACAAAAGAAACAACAATAGTCATATCAAGTTAACAAAAACATGTTCAAAGCCAAGGAAAGGAGATGCAAGTCAACAAAGTGAAGTTCACTTCAATCAGTTTCTTCGTTGTCATTCTTAAAGATACATATGAGTTTCAGTCAAGGATTATCTACCATATTGACACTTTGTAGATCTAGGTTATATGTAGGTCACTGAAGGTCTGAAAACAAAAGACATTCCCATTCCAAGGTATAATTCGAATATCATTTCATGCGCATCTGTAATTATCAAAGCAAAATTAAACCCCAGTACAAGCGTTACGGAGGAGTAATGCACATTTAGCCACTACCACGTTTAAAATGTTCCCGAATGAATCTATCTGCATGGGATGGGTACTTATCTCGGATATATGCTCGAAGACACTTCTGGTAGGAGAAGTCTATCCATACACCATCAGTTCTTATGACAAATAGGCACCTTGAGTGTTTAAATTGGGGATGCCGATCAACCTTCAGTGTTACAAAGAAAGCGGTTAATGTGCATTTTCATTTCAAGTTCTATTCAAATAAAGTTCAGACTGAAATAGAGAGATTTGTGGAAAGAGACAGACAGAGATAATTTCACGTCATAAAAATACACAGAAATAATAATAGAAAGAGCATTATCTACTGTTATATATCACACTCGTTACTCATTTCTGTACCAATATCCTAAGGAAAAAGTGGCCAAAGAAACAGTTGAAAACTATTAGACCAACATATTAATAGATTAGTTTCAGCTTCTGTTATCATTTTATTGTAATGAAAAGGAATGAAATAAATAGTCTGTAGAAAATCACCTAGGTGAAAAATAAGCCCCAATATTCAAGGATAAGTTATATAGAATATAGATGCAGATCTGGAGTCCTAACTATCATTTAATTGAATTGAAAAGAAGTGAAATAATAATCTGTAGGAAAACAAAACCTAAAGAAAATAAGCCCCAATAACAGTCAAGGACAAGTTATGAATAGGGCAAGATGCAGATATAAAGTCCCGAATTGTTGCTCAATTGCTTAGGACATGCAGCTGAAAAATGTTAAAGTGGTAACAAAAACGCGTGTAGCCCATTAAGCTAGAGCACCTGTGAATATCATCCAATCGAACTTCATCTCACACAGGCTGGACAAAATTAAATTTCAGCCAAGACAAATGCTTTTCTATTCACATAATCATTAAGAGATGCCAAAAACTTCTTAGTTGTGTCTATTTGTGCAGCTATATTCAATCGTTCTTTTACTATTCAAATGTAATACAGTTAATATCTGGCATTCATCCCAGAGTTTGGCTATGTATAAAGGCCTAACCACTTGTGAAATCCAATTCCACAAGAGACCTTCCTATTCCAAAGGTTGGTGACACCGATTTCTTGTTAAGCCTCTTGGTTGACATAAAAATTGGAATGACATATTAGCACTAACATATTAAAATAGAAGTGTCCTTGTGTTTGATAAGATATTAGTGTTTTAGTTGGAGTTAAGGGTACCCTGACAACGTTGAGTTCACTGGACAATTTCTGTAAGGGTGCTTTTATATGCATTGACATTTCTACTCTTTATCCCGATCTCCCTAAGGCTTATTTAACTCTCTCATTTCACCCATCAATATTTCAATTTCTTTGTTCTTTTAGACTTAAAAAGATTAAAGTTAGATATCTGTAAGGGCAAGAGTCAAGGTCCTCAGGGAAGGGGTGGAGGCGGAGGTGCACGGGGAAGGGAGGAGGAAGTGGATGGGGACGGGAGAAGGAAGTGGATGGGGAAGGGAGAAGGGATGAGGGAGGAGGGGAAGAGGTAACAGGGAGAGAAGGGGAGAAAGCATAGTAAGACAAAGAATTGAATCAATATGGGTAATATGAGTAGTATCATCATGTTTTTAAGCCGTGATGAGTAAGGGGATTGGTGCAAATAGGATGAACATCAACTTGCTAGCTGTTCTAACCTATCCCCCACACGAGTTACTGACCATTTTCACCCTAATTAAAGCTCTATAGTCCACATTCCTCCATTTAAGCCTCCTTATACTTCAGAACAACCATGATTTTTAAATTACCCGCTACATCCGTTTCAAACACGTTCAAGTATAGTCCGCAACACTCAATATGTTCACCACAAATTTGGTTCACAAACCGTTAACCCCTCTTTCTACGATTTCAACCTTTGAAAATCCATTTTTCCACTAACCCAAACCGCCTCATGAAAGCATAAACATGCTTGTTTCTCTATACGAAAGACTATCATACTTCAAAGCGTGCACACGAATGGTGATTTGTGACACAAAACAGTGTGTCTTCCAAACCATCCTAAACACCAATTTCCTGTTAACTTTTTCGGTCGACACAAAATTTGATTGGTGAATCCTTTACACTACGGCAAACATATTGGCAATGGCTAATAAGTTATTTACACTCAATATTTTAGTAACAAAAAATCTCCAACTGTAAATGGTGGGGTGAAAAAATTACCATGATAGAATCAATTCCGCAGCCAATTTTATCCTTCGATTGTGGATGATGAACAAGAAGCCTTTCCACCACAACCTTTTCATCTTCCTCCGTCAGCTGCTCACCATCCATATACCTGCAAACCAGCAAAACCAGTCACATAACGTTCACAAAGCGAAACGACGGAGCTCCACGTCGTTGCCAAGCTAAGCTAACAGTAACCATACCTATCAGAGTGCAGAATCTCCTTGGCGAGCAAAACGACGGGCTCGATGTCGTTTAAAATCTCCCGTTCCTTATCTTTCCACTTGCAGTAGTCAGGGTCGTCCCAGCGCGGGTACTTCGGCGGCTCCTTCGCGCTCAGCACTCCTCTCAGCGCGGACCCGTCCGCGGACGACAATAGGCTCTCCCGCGGCTCCTCCGCCCTAGTCGACTCGCTCGCCCCGCTGCGGCACGCCCTGCCACTCCGGACCGCCAGGCGAAGGCCCAGGCGCTGATGGTGGACTCGCGCGCAGAGGAACGAAATTGTGCGCAGCAGCACCGGATTCAGAGTCGCCATTCGCGTCGTCGTCGTCATCTCATTGTTTGAGTGGCGGCAGTGTATCGTGGATCATGGTAGTGACTGTACTAGACTAGTCTCAGTCGGTGATGATGATGACTCGGTGAGTCGTGTGACCGATGCGGTGGACTTTGTGGGAATTCTGATATTTGTTTTCGGTTTTTTGGAAAATAAATAAAAATTACAGGCCCATTATAAGGCCCAGTTTGTGATGGAGATCAGTAGTGGGGGCGATGGATGGGTTCATGTCCATCACGTGTTTCTGTTGTCCGAGTGTCCAACGAACTAAAACTACGTGGCCCATGCTGCTGGATTTGGGTATTATTGAATTGTGAAGATAACTGATAAGATATAAAGAGTTGAATTTAGAACGGTTCGGACAAATTGAGAGAGAAAAGAGACTGTTAAGCCGGGCGCTATTTGTAATCTCTTATTTGATATATTCTAGAAAGCTAGGGCTAGTAGCCCAATTTTAAATATTTAAAGGATGAACGCCTTAATATTATTGGTCAATTGTTATTACTATAAAGCCTGACCTATAAAAATCAAAATAAAAGTGGGAATAATAATATAGCCATGAAGGAATAACCAATTATGCAAACAAACTATAGAAAAGTGCGTATTTAAAGATGGAGGAAGAGCCGTCGCAGGGTAAATTTCAGATCCTACTTTTCTCTTTCAGTTGACGAAGAAGACAATGTACAAAATTGGCATTGGCATTGACATGCTGCAAAGTTAGACAAAAATATAAATCATGTATTTGCCACGTTATCATTTAATGATCATGTTTATGAGTTTATAATTACATTGTCGCTGCTAATTTTCATTTACCACCCGCAGACGACGACACACCTCTAACTTTAAATTTAGTTTTGGTTCTGCAAGTAGAGTAATCTTTAACCAACCGATAAACAGGTTTAAACTTTAAATTAAAATCAGGATCAGGGGCCCCACAAGCCAACGAGCAAAATAAGACAATCACAGGAAAGCGCCCGCTTTTGATATTTTCTCCCTGGCGGAGAATACCATTGTGCCATCAGCCAAACGCTGAGAAGAAGTTTCCAAAAACAAAGCCTAATGCAATCGGATTTCAAGTCCGCCCCCCTAACTTTTCCACAGAGAGGTTGTTGCCAGTGCTCCTCTACGACGCTATCTACGGTTAACCGTGCTGACGTGGTAGAGCTCAGCCATTGATTTCCGGGTTGTTCAGTGGATGGGCCAGTCATCCTCGGCGGCCGCAAATTCAAGCCGCCGTGACAGCAACAACCACAGCCATCGATCCAAGTCCAAAGCAACGGCCGCGATCTCCCCGATGCTGCAGGCCGACGAGGAACGTTCTGGGATCGTCGACGTGGCGTCCGATTTAATCTCCGATCTTCCCGACGAGTGCTTGGATTTAATCTCCGATCTTCCCGACGAGTGCTTGGCCTGCATATTCCAGTTCCTCGGGTCCGGCGACCGGAAACGTTGCTCTCTGGTTTGCCGACGGTGGCTAAGGATCGAGGGACAGAACTGTCACCGTCTCTCCCTCAACGCCCAATCGGATCTCCTCCCCATCATCCCTTCCCTCTTCTCCCGCTTCGACGCCGTCACCAAGCTCGCCCTCAAATGCGACCGCAGATCCGTCAGCGTCGGCGACGAGGCACTCGTCCTCATTTCTATGCGATGCCGTAACCTCACGCGCCTGAAGATCCGCGCGTGCCGCGAGTTGACCGATGCTGGGATGATGTCGCTCGCCAAAAACTGCAAAAGGTTGAAGAAGCTGTCGTGCGGGTGGTGCATGTTCGGAGCCGAAGGAATGAACGCAGTACTAGACAATTGCTCGGCGCTCGAAGAATTATCGGTGAAGCGGCTCCGTGGCATCACCGACGGAGCGGCCTCGGAGCCGATCGGGCCCGGAGTGGCTGCCGCGTCGCTCAAAACGATTTGCCTGAAAGAACTCTACAATGGACAGTGCTTCGCGCCCTTGATAATGGGCACGAAGAAACTGAGGACTCTGAAGCTCTTCAGGTGCACCGGCGATTGGGACAAACTTCTGCAAGTGATAGCGGAGCAAGTGACCTCCATGGTTGAGATCCACCTGGAAAAGCTTCAGGTCAGCGATGTAGGACTGGCCGCCATCTCCAATTGCTTGGATCTGGAGATTCTGCACCTGGTCAAGAGCCCCGAGTGGACCAATGTAGGATTGGTCTCCGTCGCCGAACGCTGCAAGCTGCTAAGGAAGCTTCACATCGACGGATGGAAGGCTAATCGAGTAGGCGACGAGGGTTTAGTCTCGGTGGCAAAGAACTGCTCCAACCTTCAGGAATTGGTGCTAATCGGTGTGAATCCGACCAAAGTGAGCTTGGAGGCATTGGCTTCCAATTGCCCCAATCTCGAAAGGTTGGCATTGTGCGAAAGCATCACCGTGGGCGATGTGGAGATTTCGTGCATTGCGGTGAAGTGCGTGGCGTTGAAGAAGCTCTGCATAAAGAACTGCCCAGTCTCGAACATCGGCCTCGAGGCATTGGCCAGTGGTTGCCCTAACATGGTGAAAGTGAAGCTCAAGAAATGCAGAGGAGTAACAGCAGAAGGAGCTGATTGGTTGAGGGCAAGTCGGCCTTTGCTGGCTGTGAATTTAGATACAGGTGAAACAATCCAAGAGGCCGCCATCGATAACTCCGATGTGGCCCACAATAACTCCGTCGAGTTACCGCCGATGGCCATCCAACCGGCGTTTCCGGCCATTGCCTCAAGCAGTGCAGGGCGGTCGACGTCGTTTAAGTCGAGGTTAGGACTTTTGACCGGGAGGAGGGGTTTTGTGGCTTGCACTCTGAGAAGGTGGTCGTCAAGTCGGAATAATAGTTAAGTGTTGTTGAAATTGAACCGTACAGTTGATCGTTCATTTTTTTGCTGCATTATTTGGATTCTGACCTTTTTTATCTACTTGATTTCATGTTTGTGTGCTGTTTAGTGCCTTTTTCTGAATCCAATTTTCTTACTATTTTTTTTATGTGCTTTTGTGTTTCAATGATCTTGAAGCTTCCCCTTTTAACACCATTTCACACGGATTTGCCCACGATTGCTTCTTTTATGTTCCATCAAATTATATTTGATTCGGGTATGAAGTTTTGGCCTTTGTTGGGTAGTATTTGGATGCAAGCTTGTCAGGAAAGTCGAACTCGGGACCTCAGGAGAGAAAATTGAACTCAGATCTCAGGTGCCGCGAGTCGATTAACTAGAGTTGGTCATTTTAACGGAGCAGGATTCTCTCTCTCTTCTAATATCTCTCATCTTCTAATATCTCTCATCTTCCAATCTCCTTCTATTTAAACGGTTGCGATTACGTCACGTCTACATTTTGTTTTGAATTTTTTACATAGAAAATAAGACAAAAAGAAAAAGTGTGAGAAGAAGGGACGGAAAGGGATGGTAACTTGTGTCTCACTTCACTTGTTTCGTAGTTGTTGGAAGATGTTGAAAATTTATGGCCTTGCGTACATATTTATCCAACCAAAACCAAAAATATTGTATTAGATGAGAAAGGCCAGTTTAGGCTATTAAATTCCAACCAGTTTGTCATTTCAAGCTATTTAATTGCAACAATCTTGCTGGTTGCTTTCTGGAGCAAGGTCTCTTCCATGCAAGATAGATGAGAACCATACGCATAGAGGTTTCGGGCAAGGACTCCGGGCGCTTCAGGACGACTCTTGCATCCCCAAACGATGGAAAATTCCTTTTCTATCGACGAGGATCGTTGGGCAAAAAACAAGATTGAATATCCCATCCTCGGTACTGAAAAAAAAGGAGAAGCTTAGACATGAAGCAATGCTTCATGTCGTATTGGCGCAAGCCAACGTCAAGGAACAGAGTAAAAAGCCATATAGTCTAAAGCAATCACGTATAACACGAGCATTTTCTGACATGTAAAGACTAAAGTCGCAACGATAAAAGACGCAGTACATGTTCGTTTTGAAAAAGAAGAAAAGAAAAAGGAAAGGGGAATCTGCAATAATTTCCTGTTAACCTCACCGTTTAGCATAGAAAAGAAAAAGAAGTTCCAAATTTCAAATGAAAAGACTATCAGTTTTGGATAATGTCGTTTTAAAGATTTCATTAGAGGACGATTACTCATTTCCTTGAGCACTATTACCGTGTTTTGCTGACTTCCTTGCTGGAACTGTTGGTATCTTTATCTCAAGGACCGGTACCTATCTTGGGCGTCAATTCTTCTACTCTGTTTTCTTCTCCTTCTCAGCACGCGGCTTTGCCCTTTGGTACGTAAGTATCTGACTCAGGAGGGTGAAATTTGTCGCAATTCCAATCACGGAGCCCAACAGAACTAGAAAAGGATTAAGGAGAAGCAAATGAACGAATACATATGTGCACACATCAAATTCAAAGAACTTAATAGTAACATATTGCACTTATTTTAGCGTTGTTTTTGGTTATGCAAACAAACACTAGTCAGGATCATCTTCGACGGGGAACTCAATTTTGTCTGTCATTTAAGGGGACGAGAAAGAAAACTAGCGGTAACTAGGTTCTGATGCGCATACCTGATAACTTGCTACTTCTACACAGACTGACTACGAATTCTATAGACTGACTATAAAAACAAGAATAACTTTTTTGCTGAGCTAATATTTCGAGAGAAAAAAATGCAACTCATGTGACAAACAAGAAAAAAGGATACCACTTTTGGGTGCTTGTTCTTGGATGCTGGTGAAAACTCTCACTGCAAAAGAAAGTTAAGAAATTTGAGAGTCGGCCAAAATATATCAATTATACTCTACGCCTCTAGGTCCTTCTAATATGTTTGACTTACCCATGGAACCTGCAAAATTCATTAAGTTCGTTAAGAAGCTGAGCTCCCCTGTACTTTTATTCTGCGCAAGAAATTGTTAAGCAGCATCAGAAATGTAGCTAAAACAGGTTGAGATTACCGAAAGAACTGAATGTTGATGAAGTAGGAGATTAAATGGACTGGTTGCCATGCTAGAGGTAGTGCAAACTCAGAATTACAACTTTGGGCAAGCAGTCAAACCATCGATGTTCACATCAATAAAGAGAAATAGACAAACATCTAAATTAAATCCAACTTACAGAAAAGTTCGCCCATATCTGTGGGATCTTGGCACCGAGGAAGATTGCATGCTGGGATGCCTGTATCAGATTGTTTCCACATTAGTACATATAGATAAAGAAACGATTATATTCATGTGTAAAAACAGCTGAGTACGAAAATGAATACAGGACAAGGCAAGAAAGAGAAGTGCTTGTAGTGCCAATGGTTTATAGGTCGGCCTGTGAAATTGGCAACTTACATATAGAGCTTCAAAGAGAACAGGATCAACTTTGCCAGCTAATACGGTTGGTGCCATGGCACAATATCTGGAAAACCATCATATTAAGGAAGAAGTTGACCACATTTTCTCACTTATACAGAATGAAAGATAAGGAGAAAAAAAAAAAAAAAAAAAAAAGCCAAGGTTAACTGATTCTCAAGCAAGGATACAGTAATGCCGTGATCGCTGTTCTGGTACCCATAGGTCGGGAGTAATAATAGATAATGGCAATCAATATTAGAGCTGAAAAAGTGAAACATGACAAACTGTGTTAAATCCTGTGAGTGCCATAATTAGTTCTCCTACCGATACAAATTTAATCGACACGAACCCAGGGTTCACAACTCTACAGGTGAAAATCATCATCCTAATCTACAAACCCGATATTTTTTTTTTTTTTTTTGAACAAACGATATTATCTACACGAAGTGGGAGGGGGTGAGCTTAGCCTCACAATGGGTTACCAATAATGTGGTTCAAATTTGCCTTTGACGAGAATTGAACCTAAGACTTCTCACTTACAAGTGAAGAGGAATACCACTAGACCATAATACTAAGTGGCACAAACCAGAATTATTTGTTTGCCACATAACTTAAAGTTCCTAGATGGTAAATCACGTATGGCTAATCTGATCAAACTAACTCACTCTACCGTCAAAATCATGTTTTTGTACCTCTATTTTCACCCTCACATCTCTATGAAGCAATCGCCCGAAATACGTTATTGACATAAAAGTACAAGAAGCCTTTGAAATACCTTGGATCAAAAGAAAGGCCAATTCCCCATAAGCTGAGAATGGAAGCCCTTTATGAAGGCAATACGCCAGAGCAATGGTGTAACCAACAACTTCAAGCTCAAAAGAGATAATACTAAGACCTCTGACACTTCCATGTTGCAATATTTTTATTATCTGCAATCGAAGAACAAAAGCATCACACCGTGTACAATGCCAAAATACAAATTCAAATTAGTACATAACACGATGCAACGTCTTACAATACGATATGCAGGTATTTAACTACCGGTTTCGTGTTTAACAACGAATTGGAGTAATTAAACATAAAATAGATAGCCTAGTGACTATAGGTTCAGGAAAAAAAATAAAAATCCAGAAAACTCAAATCTTTGGATTCTTTGCTGGGAAAATGGATGTGGGTTTAGTCCAGAATCCAAAATTTTCATATCTTTTACTAAAATCTCCATCGTTAGAAATCCTAACACCAAAACATTAACTAAAAACCCCAAATTCAGAGCATAAAACCCCTTCAGACTCATTAACCGATGGTACCCACCTCAGAGATCTGCCTTGTGTTCTAATAACATACAACAATTTCAACAGAGATTGTGAAGGAAAACAAAAGGCGATTGCTTTAGCAAATTAACGACGATAGCGACCAAAAGGGAAAGGGAAGAACGTGCCTGAGGGAGTTTGACGGTGGTGGAGGCGGCGACGATGGCGTAACCGAGGAGCTTGGAAACGAGGGGCAGCAAGCAATCTTTGCTGGGGAAGTGGCCGTCGCCGAGAGCCCCCAATGCGCAGCTGAAATCGATTCCTAGGACCTTCATGGCTGCGTCAAATCAATGGAGATCCTTCGCTGTTTTATCACTCCTCCAAGACTCGAGCTTTGTATGTCGAATCAATGGAGATCCTTTGTTATGCTATGAATTTTTTGTGCTTTCAGTATTTTGACCGACGCGCGTACTCCAAGCATATTATGATTTTTCTCAATCTCAATTTCGGTAATTTACGAATAGTAATTAGTTTACAAAGTTCATATTAATTTGATTTAAGTTCATTTTAGTTTACAAAGTTCTCTCTCTCTCTCTCTCTCTATATATATATATATATATAATCATATTAATTTGGTCTAAGTTAAACATTTAAAGATCAATTGTTTTGTTGAAGTACATTTGAAGAACATTAAATGATAAGTCAGTTACAATCCGCACTGGGCTCTTAGGTCTCGGAGTATTGGGTTCAAAATAGTGTAATACATGGTTTAGGAAAGGACCAAGTAATTTTATTGGAGCTTGTGGTGCGATTAGGAATTCCTATGGTGCTTGGCAAAATGGATTTTGTGCTAACCTTGGACGTGGTGAAATTCTTCTCGAGGAAATTTGGGCCATATTCTTGGGTTTACGCTCGCTTGGGACAAAAAGGTTGTTCGTCTTTTGGTAGAATATGATACTTCTTTTGCTGTTCATATGATTATGCAAGGTTTGAGTGAGAACTATTTTCTTGGTGAATTGATGCAGGCTTGCCGCAAGCTGTTAGAGAGAGATTGAAATTGTGAACTTCGTCATGTTTATCGTGAGATGAATATTGTGGCTGGTGAACTAGCTAACTTGAGTTCGTCGTATTCTCTTGGTCCAGTTTGTTTCAATCAAGCTCATGCCTCTTATCGTCATTTCTTGATGTCGGACGCTGTTGAAATCTCTACATCTCATGATGTTTTGCTTTAGTTTTTCTTTATTGGGCATTTAGCCCCGTTTGTTTACCCAAAAAAAAAAAAAAGTGTAATGCAAATGATAAGATTAGTGCGATCATCTTTTATCTAATCCCACATCCATTTGCGAGTGCTAAGGCCATCTCCAATCGAGGGCTGGCCAGAGTGCTCATTTTAGCCCTCTGGTCCTCCAAGATATTAATATTTTAATGAATAGTACATAGCCATATTTGCCTCCATCTCCAACCGAGGGCCATGGGGCTCGTTTTAGCCCTGTCACAAAAAACTGTCTCCAACCGAGGGCCAAAGGGCCAAACATAATTTATTATTTAAATATAAAAACTACAACAACTTAAATTCAAATCCAACAACTTAAATTTTAAGACGACAAATTAAATTTAAAAAATATAAATAAAATTTGAAAACAACATGAACTTGAATTTAAAAACTACAACAACTTAAATTTAATATCTATAATCAACTTCATCATCCGCCATTGTAGTAGTATAGTCAGAGGTAAACAACTACCGCCGGGTCATAATTTCTTTTCTTTTTTTTCCTATCAAAATAGGTCTTACTCATTGGAGTGTAATTTGAAGTGTTCATTTCCATATTCTTATCATTCATCTATTCTTGTATTTGTTTGGCCCGTTCTTCATGCCTACTTTTCCTTTCTTCCGCCTCAAGGGCATTTTGCTCCGCCATTAATTGCAATGAGGCCGCCACTTCATGTTGAGCGGCGTAATCATCATTTGTCTTACCCTTTTCCTTCAATTTTCGCCCCTTGTTTCGTCCCATAGCCCTAGGTATGGAACCTTCACTCGAAGACGGATTTTCTACCCTTGTTTGTTGAATGGTTGGAGATCTATTTTCATCCATATTTGCATCTGAGGATGCAGTTCCGAACACCACCGTAGGAGCTCTATGTGGTGGATCTTCAAATAACACTCACCCTTTACAAATTTCCCAACAAATGTGAAACTGAAAGGGTTTCGAGCTACTCTCCATATACAATTCCTCCGCTTGGCGTACCTAGAAAAAAATTAAAGAAAATTAATTTATGAAATTAAATGTAATATAATTAAATATTTAAAATAAATTGTGAAAACACTTACTTCGTCGTAGTAATTAGTGATGCTTTCATGTCTACTTGCGGCTGCTAACAATGCTTGATGTCATTTGTTCAAACTTGGTTGAAGATGTTTCTTCCATCTTGAAGAACAACTCTCGTGGTTTCAAATATTCACTGGAGTGGTGCCTTCATAGAACTCTAACTATTTTTTGGACACACGAGTCCAAACACCATCATTTGTTTGACAATTCCCCCTCACACTATCTTCCGACACTCATCTATAAGCCTTGCAAAGAGCTTCATATTCTTTTCGGATCCAAGCTATACCTTTCATTGCAGACGAGGCCATTTGAAAATTATTGAAAAATTTGAAGGATAGATTTTTGAAAGAGGAAAGAAAATATGAGAATTGAAATGGTGAAAATTTTGTGAGGAATGGTGAATGAATGGTTCAAGGTATTTATAGGAAAAAAAAATAAGAATTTTTGAGAATTTTTTTTAAAAAAAAAAAATAGGGCCAAAAAACCTAAATAAAATAAAATTTGAATCCAACGGTAACTAGCGCCAGCAAGCAACGGCTAGCTGACGTCTGCTAGCCGTTGGATTCAAATTTCTTTTTAAGCATTCTTGTCGGTTATTTCTGGCCAGCCCTTTCTGATTCCGTGGGGCTCTCTCAGATTTCACGAGCCCTTTGGCTTAGCCCTCGATTGGAGACGATTTTCGGGCTATTTTCGGGTCACTGAACCCTTCGGTTGGAGATGACCTAAACATGGGATCGGGTAATCCAATCCTACTACTTATCCTACCCACCAAACGAGGTTCGACTCCAACTGGATTTTGACAAAATAATACACTTTTAAAGTCGATTGAGGTCTAAAGCTGATTAAACATGCATATTGCGGTTGCAGATGAGGGGCCACTGGAAGGACAAAGTTTGGTGCAATTTATTTTATGTGATGAAATTGGATACCAGTCAGGATTTGAGGACCACGGCAAGAAAATGGACAAAACCATTAAGGTAAAGTGAGCTGCTAAAGACTGTTTGCTCAGCTTTGAGTACAAAACAAGGATTGCAGTTGTACACCTCCCTAATTTGCCTACACCTGGTTGGGTTTTGTATTACTAATGCCTTGATTCATGATGGGAATTTGATTACGATTTTTAGGAAAATTTTGAAATGGTTTCTGCATAGTCCGTCTATAGAATGGATGCTCGTTCCTTATTGAAGAACGGACTTCTGAATCTCTGATATTGTCATTAACAATCAGTTAATATTATTACTGTAACAAAATGTATTGATGTATGATCAATATATTATTAACAATATCCGAAGATATTTGTTCTTTAATCATGCACAAAAACAATGGTGGAACAATGTATAGGGCTACCATGAGCTAAAGCCGGCGTATCTATATTTTTTGTTGTTTATGTTGAATATTGATTAATCAAATTAATCTTTGTAGCCCGCCCAAATTAAACCAAGTTACACTCAACTCACGTATAATAAGTGTAGTATGAGATTATACAGAGAACTATTGATTCACAGGGCAAGTTAGTAGGGGAGATTCTTAGGTTTTAGCCATCTCTAACTATATATATAGTCTATATATCTCGTGTCTATCTCTCTTGTAGTGTGACTTACTAGAATGACAACTGACTACAAGTCACATTTCTTTACTCCCAACCGGTTCCAGTAAGTAGGGTACTCTTCTTTATCTCCTCCTCTCTGAGTTGTAAATATCCAGGTCCCACGATGAAACAAACTCCAGAGGTCCACTGCAGAGTGGGTTTGGTTGGAGGCTAACTCCAAAATCCCAACACTCCATGTCAGCCAGTGGACATTGGTTGTTTGCTCCCAAATTCCTCTTTTCCTTTTAATTGTGGTGGAAACAACAGCACACTCAAGCTTAACTTCACTCTAAAGCTCTCTCTCTCTCTCTCTCTCTCTCTCTCTCTCTCTGTGACAATCAGTTAATATTATTACTGTAACAAAATATATTAATGTGTTATTGATATATTATTAACAATATCCGAAGATATTTGTTCTTTAATCATGCACAAAAACAATGGCGGAACAATATACAGGGCTACCATGAGCTAAAGCCTGCGTATCTATATTTTTTGTTGTTGATGTTGAATATTGATTAATCAAATTAATTTTTGTAGCCCGCCCAAATTAAACCAAGTTACACTCAACTCACGTATAATAAGTGTAGTATGAGATTATACAGAGAACTATTGATTCACAGGGCCAGTTAGTAGGGAGATTCTTAGGTTTTAGCCATCTCTAACTATATAGTCTATATATCTCGTGTCTATCTATCTTGTAGCGTGACTTACTAGATGACAACTGACTACAAGTCACATTTCTTTACTCCCAACCGGTTCCAGTGGTAGATTTCTCGATAAGTAGGGTACTCTTCTTTATCTCCTCCTTTCTGAGTTGTAAATATCCAGGTCCCACGATGAAACAAACTCCAGAGGTCCACTGCACAGTGGGTTTGGTTGGAGGCTAACTCCAAAATCCCAACACTCCATGTCAGCCAGTGGACATTGGTTGTTTGCTCCCAAATTCCTCTTTTCCTTTTAATTGCGGTGGAAACAACAGCACACTCAAGCTTAACTTCACTCTAAAGCTCTCTCTCTCTCTCTCTCTCTCTCTCTCTCTCTCTCTCTCTCTCTCTGTGACAATGGAAACTGGACTTCCCATGTTTAATTGTCTCTTGCAGCACACGCTGAGGAACCTCTGTTCATGTTCAGATTCTTCTTCCAATCCTTCCAAATGGGTTTATGCTGTCTTCTGGAGAATCTTGCCTCGGAACTATCCTCCCCCAAAGTAAGAAAATTTTACTGCAAAAACAGAATATACGTGAAAAGCACTTTTACGAAAAGCTACTTTCATGATACCAGTTACAGTGCTTTGGTTTTTGCAGGTGGGATTATGGAGGCAGTGCTCTTGATCGATCCAAAGGAAACAAACGGAACTGGTAAAGTGATTAACAAAGAACTGTGACAAAACAAAACCCGTGTTTATAATTCTTATGATTTTTAAGTGAATTTTCGGTTGCAGGATTCTTGTTTGGGAAGATGGGTTCTGTGATTTCTATGAATGTGAGCAAGCAGGAAGTGGGTACATCAAGGGGAGGTTTGGAGCTGATATCTTCTTCAAAATGTCACATGAAGTCTACAATTTTGGAGAAGGGTGAGTATTTACATTCTAAAACAGAAGCGTGTTAGGTCAGTTGCTCAAGGCAATGTGCCTATCTTAGTGCATTTGAGTTCGGATTTGTATTGGCTGCAGATTAGTGGGGAAAGTAGCAGCAGAAAATAGTCACAAATGGGTGTTCAGAGATGCACCAGATGACGGTGATCCTACCTTCATTTCCTCCTGGAATGCATCCACTGAACCTGTAAGCCAATTCACTACACTATGCTTTTTACAAAAGTAACTGCAAAAGCATAAAGTTTTCTTTTCAATTCATCCTAATTTTCCCTTCATCCACTTTTACATGCAGCAACCAAGGGCATGGGAATTTCAATTCCAATCAGGCATACAGGTTTTGTACTTTCAAAATCTCACTGATTAGAATTTTAAGTAACACGATTCAACGGTTTGTTATATTGAAATTTTGCAGACCATTGCAATCATTTCTGTTAGAGAAGGCATAATTCAACTTGGCTCCTTCGACAAGGTTTGTGTTCGTCTCCCTTTGTTTTCCTTTCCAATCTCATCAACATCAACTGAAGCGATTCCTGCGCTCAATTTTTAGCCATCTACACTCCAAATTGAATGTTTAACAATTTTATCTGCACTGGCGTAAGGAGTGACTCAGTGAGTACAGGCGGCCGAAAGAGGTGGGTTAAAATCAATAGCCTTGGGTGAAGCATCAATTGATTGACTAATTGGGATTTTTCAGATATTGGAAGATCTTAATCTTGTGATCAGCATACAAAGGAAACTCAGCTACCTCCAGAGCATACCAGGAGTTTTTGCCATGCAAAGACCTTACCTACCAATCCAACATCCCTACATCCTCAAACCAAATCCTCAGATGATTGCAAACCATGATCAAACAGCTTTATCAGTCTACGAAAAGCGCCAACTGACCGGCGCGAAAAGATTGTTCAACGAAGTCCCTGATGATTCCCAAACCAAGTCCATAAACTTGGGCTGGAACACCCCACAAAATGGACTTCCAGGATCACCACCTTCGCCGATTCTTCCTCTTCTGCCCTCCATTTCTTGCAGCCTTGGAGCTCTACTGTCGAAGCTACCTTCGGTTAATATCCCATGCTATAATTCTGGTGAAGCTCCTGACAGAGAAATGCTTATGAACAACATGAGCAACAGTGGCAACAATTGTGCAGACCAGATGCTGAAGGTTAGTGGTGGCATTACGAAAATAGAGTCATCCTGTCACTCGGATGTAGCTAATGGAGAAAAGCACAGTTCCATAAACCCTAATTTGGGTTTAGAAAATGAGGGGTAGACTTGGATTCGGACCGGTACGAAAACAAGGGAGTTAGACTTAGATTGCTCTGACTGAATCTTAATTAATTAGAAAGTTGCAGCTCAGTTTTCTTCAAACTAAGCTGGCAATACATTGTTTTAGTCAACTGACTTATTCCACATCTACAACTCAATTTTTTTAATTACGCTCACTTGGGCTTTTGTCATATAAGAATATATATGTAATTATTCTTTCATGCAATAATAACGTGTCTCCATGGCCCCCAAAACTCAATTGAAGATGAAAACTGACCAGAGATTGTTGTAGGGTTGGATCAAAGATGTTGCATGAGACATATGGTATCCTCCTCCCGACAAAATGATGGTCTACAATCCCCAATCATTCAATTTTTCTTCATCTTATTGGCCGAGGTGGATCTATACTTGAAACCTTTTCAATATTAAAAAACGAATATCACCAAACTAAGAATTAGTTAGTATGTTATTAAGTGAATACGATACTAAGAAAGCAAGTTAAAATACTACAGATGTGGCTGTATTTAAGACGTTTGAAATGTAGTCTAAACAAGTGGTCCGACCATCCAGATATCGTATTTAGTACCACATGCTGGATATGTGGATGTGCAACTTGTCGTTTGGAAATCCCAACACAAGTGAAAACTGATAAAAGGCTGGACCATTTTAGTTGGCAAATTTTAATACCAATCCAATTTGTAGAGGAATTCGTCACCAAACGAAAAGCGAATTGCCTTCCTTCGAGAAATGAAGCAAGTGGGTTTATTAAACAGTGCAAACTTAGAAACTAGAAGGTCCACTCCACACCGCACTCATGCATTCACAAAAAACGAACCAATACTTACAGATTGAAGTGAGCCTCCAATCAAAACAAACGACACAAGGCGGGGTTCAATCGGCTGCATTTTTTTATAAGGGACAATTAGTGCCAACTCACGATTATTCACCTTTTTTTGGTCTGGAGAGGATATGAGAAATTTCACCCTATCCGTGGCCAGAGTCAAGCAGACTCACCAGCTCGGAGTATCAAACTTGGGACCTCCTACATTTTTTTTGTTTATTAGAGAACCGCAGTTTGCACCCTTATCATTAAGCCATGGTTGTTCAATATCAAAAGTTGTTGTTAAGAGATCATTATTTTTCAAATAGGATATTTTAATTTAATAAACACTTTTTTATTACTTAATTTTAAAGTGAAACGCTGCTCAATATTACGGTCTAGTGGTATTCCTTTTCACTTGTAAGTGAGAGATCTTAGGTTCAATTCTCACCAAAAATAAATTTGAACCACGTTATTGTTAGCCCATTGTGAGGCTAAATTCACCCCTCTCCCTTAGTGTAGATAATATGCTTGTTAAAAATAAAAAATAAAAAATAAAATAAAATAAAAAACTTAAAAGTGAAACAACCTTTTGGTGAAACAAATAAAAAACGGGGCTCATAACCAATGTTTAAAATATCCACAAAACTGGATGAGGCACAACCTGTTTCAAAGAAGGTGCATGTATGTTCACGAGGCTTCGCTTCTTTCTTAAAGCGCCTCAAGAAAGGCCTTTAGTCTCATGTTTCGAAGGTGCGACCGCATAAACATTTGTATGAAAGCGGACGTCGTTGACAACCAAGTATTTTTCGGTCTCCTCTACTTTGCTTCTGCTTAGTATTTAAAATATCCACAAACTATTGATATTTCGGTCGAAATATCTGAAAAATCAAGGATCGATATACAAGGCGGTGAAAATGCAAGCTTCACTCATATCGGCAAGATATAAGAAAATCAACGAATGTCGATAATATTTACCAATTCACTACATAAAATTTATTGCAAAACCATTGCAGATTTTCAACTTTTGAAATTTTTTTGAGAATTTTCTCTAATTTCGACTAAATCTGATTGAGTTGATGTACCCACCCTATTGCAAAATTCATAGTTTCAGTCAAAGGAAAATGATATTGATATATTTCCATAAATTTGCATATCAATATTTTACCTATTTCAATATTTTAAACACTGTCTATATCTAGTGAAGGCAGAGATTAATTCATAGAAATTAATAATCCATATATATCTAAATTATTTGTGACTTTGTTTCAAGATTTTTATATAAATTATGGGCAAATTTTACCACGTGACAATGTTCCGAATACAAAAACAAATTTCTCCAGTAGTGAGAAGTCAGTGTTGGGGTACAGTTATTTTGATGAGCATGCATGCTAGGAACCTTGTTTAAATAGAAATTCAGAGTTAATAAATGCAAACACATCATATTTCATATACAGAGTCATTTCCAACTAAAAGAGAAAAATCATAGGGCATCAGGAGGAACCGATGTACAATCGTAACATGAAAATTTCCACAGCATTGCCAACATATCAAAGATACAATCGTGTTCTACACTAAACTTCACGTTAATCTCGTTCACATGTCAAAATGCGGCAAAAAGAACGCAATTATAATCTAATCATATCTCCATCGCACAAATTATCAGCACACAGAGGCCTTTCTTTGTTAGTCTGAATCACAAAACTGATCAACCGTCCAAGGGTTCGTAAAGATGCTGGAGGTGCTCCTGCATCTTGGTCATTTCTGCATGCATGCGAGAGCAAGAGAATTCTGCGGTCCACCGGTCAAATATGATCCTTCAGCACCAATTCTGCAACATCTTTCAGTGATGCAGCTGCCTTGAGCAGATCGGATTCCGTATGCCCTGCGGAGACGAACAATCTAATTCCTAATGGAAGACGACATTTATCAAGTGTTGACTTTTTGGAGGCGACCACAAAGATGGAATGCTCCTTCAACAACTGCAAAACCGCAACCATTACAATTAAGAAAGTAGAGAGGCAGAAAAGGATTCAGAAAAGTGTAATTAAGGTAACCATTTACTTACACGATTGGCAATATCCTGAAGGAGTTTGAGTTGCAGTTCACTCTTCACAGAATCTGCTTTCTCTAGTCTGAGGAACACAATCGGGGATTCTGGACTGCTAGCGAATGAGAGGCCCTGTATACCTGACAATCCTGCACACCACACCACATCACATCACATTTCTCAATCAAGAGCATCATAATGCAAGGCAGGCAGTAAGTGATTTCACAAAGCAAAGGGGATGCCAAGGAAATTGATCAAGTGATGAGTACACCACGGCGCTGACAACCGTCCAGATACAGAATAAAGAGCAGCAAACTACATGCACGTGAATAGGAGATCAAGAACATACCTTTCCATAATATGGCAATATTTTTCTTCAGCTTTGTTATCAGACCAGGGTTTTCTTCGAGGATATCAATGGCAGTAATGGCAGCACTCGCAAGATATGGGGGCAAAGAAGCAGAAAAGACGTACCCAGAGCTACTCAATCGCTGCCAAATACCATATCCCAAAATACATAATTAAGCATTCATTAAAATAGAAAGATAAGAAAATCATTTTCTTGTTAAAAATTTCATCTATCAACAGAGACATCATATAAATGGTTAATAGTATGTATTCAGTAAACATACTTGGTGATCGGTGACTCTAGCACTTCCAGTGCAGAATCCTCCTTCTGTGGCTAATGCGTGTCCCATTGCAGCAGTAATAATATCTATTTTTTCAACCTGCAAAATCACACCACCAGAAATCACAAACAGGTAATGGATCAATAGTTATGAGAGATACGAAAAAAGAAGGGTTTCTAAAAATACCGGAATGCCGCAGTACTCAGTTAGACCTCTTCCAGATTTTCCAAGCACGCCAAATGAGTTACTCTCATCCAATAACACACGAAACTTATATTTCTCCTTCAATTCAACTATCTTGTCTAAGGGGGCTATTTGGCCAGAATTCTGCAAATTTTATTAAAAGGAGAAAAAATTCAAATAAATTCAACCTACAATTGCATTCAGCTATTGAAGTTCTCAGCAAAACTGAAGACAATTTGTCACCATGCAAATGACAGTGTTGAATGCTGAAAAGACAGTTTGTTTTTCTATTTGCCAGTGATTCACGTAGAGATGGAAGCTTTCCTCAAAATGTAACATGATGCCAAGACTTTAAGAAAAACCTTAAAAAATTGTGTGCGCTGAAGTATAAGCAACCTATTTCGTGAAAGTGGATGATGCTGGATTGAATCATGATTCATGAAACAGCTCACAACATATAAAAAATGAATTAAATAAAATTTGATATACGGAATAGACTAGGATACCTGGTACACAGCTTCAACTACAATGTAGCGCCGCAATTTCTTAACTCGCTCACTTTTCTTATTTGAAGTGAGTTCCTCCAGAATTTTCCTTAAATCTTCCATGTCGTTGTGCTTGAAATACTTGATTGTGCTTCTAGAAAGATGAAGACCATTTTGTATTCCCCAATGGACACCTTCATCTCTAGAAAAAGGAAAAAGAAACTGCCTTACATGTATATTCATATACAAACAGAATTTTTCATGAAATCATTTTAGCAGCATGAGATCAATCGACACTAAGGAAGGTACAAGATCAAAAGTATCAGTCATGTGTAAAAATAAAACGAAAGCATACATAGCACTTGAAAAATACGAAGGCAAGGGCTAACATATTGAACTCCATGAATCGTAATATGGACAAGGTCATACAATAGAAAACCGGTGGGAATAAAATTTGACTAAAAGTTATTCCACGTCATGCAAATACATCAAACAAAAGAAGTTTACATCAGCAAAAAGGAACAAAAGTAATGAAATAAAGGCAAAAGTAAAATCATAACTTTCATGTTTACCACTTCAGTAATTTCAGAAGTCCTTTCATCGTCATTTTGAATCACAAATCAAAGTAAATCATAACTATTAAACGAACCAAGCATTTTCTTAACAGATAAAACATTTGCAACAAAACAAGTTCTACAAATGAAGAAAAAACTACAGTAATTACAATGATCAAGATTATGCATACTCACACAACAATAATATCTCCTTTCTTGGCAAATGCTGGAATTGCACTGAACATGGTCGACAGTCCATAAGAATAGAGAATTGAGTCAGGAGTTCCCAAAAAGTTTGCAATTCTCGCCTCACAGTCAAGGTGGACATCTGATGCAAAATAAAATGAAATAAAATAAAAAAAATCAATTAAATGTCCGAAACAGAAAAATCAACTTTATCTCAAGTAGTCGAAGAATACCAATTGTTCCATAAAACCCACGAGGACCACATGAACCCACACCATATTTTTCCAATGCAGAGTTACATGACTCCTGAGATCAGACACTGCTATAAATACTCTATTTAAGAAAATATACATTAAGGAAAAAAG